TTATTGTGTGTGTGTGTGTGTGTGTGTGTGTGTGTGTGTGTGTGTGTGTGTGTGTGTGTGTGTGTGTGTAAAAAATAGCATTTTTATTTAGGTTTGGGTTTTTTTAAAATAGATAATCTCTTTATAACCTTAACTATATCTTTTCTAGTATTTTTGGCTGATAATTGTCTTATTTGCAATTAATGAACTAAAACTAGAGCCATCCGTGTTGTATTATTTGCTTCCCAGTGCTATGACTAAGTACAGCACAACCTCAATACACCAACAATTCCTTATTCAAAGCAGGGTCATGACTCCTTGTTGTTATCCCTATATTAAGTCTCTGAGCATCCCTAGTCTAACCTGGATTTTTTCAGAGCATGAGCAGACTCAGAATGATATTAGGCACAGGTGTCCAGGAGCATTGCATGATTGGGCCCTCAGTGTTTTGTGCAGTTAATAAAAAGTGCTACATTTTCTCTCCTGACAAACCTGACTCCTGAGTGCTTATTAAACTTTCCTCTGTGGAACTCAGGAGCTGCATAGATGTGTTCCAATGGTTTTCATCACTTATCACAAAGTCTAGTATCTTGGGCGAATGTGCAGAGCTCCCAGGAGTCAGTTTTTCCACAGTGAATAACTTCAAAATTGTCCATCCAACATACTTATGTATATCCTGTGTGCCAGTTTTTTTAGAATTGGGATTCCCCCTTACCTCGGTCCACCCCCATCCCCAAAATTGAAATCTTGTTTTAAAAAAAAAAGATAGCAGTTGTTTTAAAAGATTCAGATCTCTAAACACCTTGTGGGATCCACTTCAAACAACTCAAAAATTATCACCTAACAAGAGATCACATGTACAAAATGTTAAACCAAAAAGAGTTTTCTTTTTGAAAGTTGAGGTTGCAGGGGTATCAAAATCAGACTTATAAAGGAAAAGTGTCTTAAGTTGTTAGTTGCGGAGCCACTACCATGGCTCCACTGTAAAAATATATTTTTAATATTTATCCATAAAGTTGATCACACGGATTACAATCCTGACACGAAATGCTCTAAGAAAAAAATTGTAGAGAGCAGAGGCAGACTTTGATACATTAAAATAACTGTTTGGGTTTTTCTAAAGCTGCAGAAAATGTGGTAGTCATAAATAAAAAAAGACTAATTTTACATACGAATTCCTGATCTCAGTGGTGACCTCAATAAGCACAGCAGAATTATACTTTTTTATTAGCTAGAGGTATTTAAACTGGAACCTAAGAAAATCTGGCCCAGAATCCCAAATGGCTCTCGCACATCTCCACCAGTGTCCATATTTACATTGAAAATCCAGGTAGTCAGAGTTATACAGTTTTGCAAATAACATGGGAAAGAAAGATGCACTATATAGTACAAACATTTAATTTACCACCCTATAATTTTCTCAAACCATACAATAGGACTAGCACAGTGCAAGTATTAATGAAGGTTTTATAGTACTTTTCAGATATCAAATATCAGTTAATATATGCCTGATAACGATCATTTTGATGGCTTTTTCTCTTATTATTAGGCACCACAAGGCCACATAAGGAGGGGGAGGTCCCGGGTGTGGACTATATTTTCATCACTGTTGAAGATTTTATGGAACTGGAGAAAAGTGGTGCTCTCTTAGAAAGTGGAACATATGAAGGTAAGTACATTTTTATTGCTAAATCTGTTTGAGGTTTTCTTTATGTTTTTTCCGATTTAACAGAATTGCATTAGGACATCCCATTTCAAATGTGTCATTGCTACATTTATCTGAAACTTATGAGGAGCCAGATGGCAATTGTGAAAATATTTTCATATGAAAAAGCTAAAATGCAGATGGGTTCATTGTAATTTTAATACATCACTCTAGCTAAGAGAGACACTGAGAGCAAAACTAACACTACGTATTCATATAAATTGTCATGCAGCCCAACAGGATAATACTCTGAAGTTTTATAAAAGAAACATTAGTTCCTTATGCCAAGTACCTGAGGCAATGTAGATGAAGTTCAAACAAATAATTGCTTATTTAGCACATTTACAGGACAAAGCAAAGTCTTCAATGAGAAAACAGTTGTAGGGCTGGACACTTCTCCCCTGCTTATACAATATTGATGGTCCTATAAATATCAGTGTTCATTGGATGCTGAGACAGCACTTTTTAAGTAAGGCAGGAAGGCTTTGTAATATCATGTCTCTTGGGCTTTGTAAAGTTACTTAAAAGAATTCATTAATTTATGTATCTGTCAAATACATAGGGATTTTCAGTGATTGCTGTGTTAGAAAATGTCTGTTTAAGGGGAGAAGAGCTAGCAACTTAATGCAGAGCAATGTTCCCCGAGGGGCATGGTTGATTCATCTGATTTCAAATGTGTTCCAAAACATAACCATCCTAAAAGCTAAACTCTTGTGAATCGATCAGTTGCCAGAACAGTAATGAAACCAAAATCTGCACTAAAAAGTAATAAATGTTTGTTTTAAACAGAAGTATTTAAAAATAAAACTGAAAGGATCAATATTTGTATTTCAACTATCTTCAATAGTGATTGTAACATTAAAAACATACCATATTTCTGATTGAAAATATGGCCCACTCCTGCAGGGAGCTCTGTGTGGGCTAGGGTGACCAGATGTTCCGATTTTATAGGGACAGTCCCGATTTTGGGGTCTTTTGCTTATTTAGGCTCCTATTACCCCCCCACTCCCTGTCCCGATTTTTCACATTTGCTGTCTGGTCACCCTTGTGTGGACAGATACAGTTGCAGGATATGGCCCCATATTTGTACCATGTGATAAGAATATCAATGATTACTTTTATCCTGACTTTGTCCCAATCAGGAAAAACATCTCAAGATAAATAAAGAGCTGTTCACACCAAAGAAAATCATTAGCTCTATTATAAAGAGCATGAAGGAAAGTAATTCTTTCTCACCTAATTAGCACAAAGTACCCATTGAAAAGTAAATAAATTTTCATAAAGGACTAGATCAATACACAAATTATAGCAAAGAAGAGTTCCCATTAAAGGAAGACAAATAACTGGAAAAATGCATCTCTTTCCCTCTCCTCTCTTTTTCACTGTGTGACATTACGGGAGAAACTTGCATAACCAATAACAGAAAGGTAAGGTAATACCGCAGTGTTACATTCATCAGACCTTCATTGAATGTTGAGCCATCTCTGCCGGTCTCTTTATGTTAATTTAGGTTTTGAAGCTTGAATTAAAGCTACATAAGTTTTGAACAGGTCTGTCATTGCTTGACAATGTAATTTCATTAGTGTGTAGCAACATTGTAGAAGTTGACCTGCTAGTTCAAATTAAATCATAAGATTTTTGCTTTCCTTGAGGGATACAGAGAAGTGTCTTTTAATACCAGCTATCAGAAGCTGAGTGGACAGCAACATGAAATGTTCTGAATTTGTTGGTTGGGAAGCACTGCATGAATGTACCAGTCTGCTGAGACTCTAGCTGGATAAGGGCCCAAAGCAAGGCAGCACAATGTCCAATACATCACTCCCTGATTGGTTTTGGCAATCTTGGCATTTGCCAAAGACAAACCAAAATAAACCCGTAAGACTTATCTCTGTACAAATCCTGTCCCTGTTGCACAGGCCTCCCGTTATGATGTGTGTCATGGAAACTAGACAAATAATGTGCTGGAAAGTACGCCTGACTTACAGATGGACATTGTTGCATTCTCCTTTGAGTGCTTGTCCGTATGTACAGTCCACTTATGGTGTTCATGCACCTTGTGACCCCTGAGATTGGAGTCTTTTTGGCCAGCAGTACTCATAAGACATCATGCGTTTTTCAATCCTCATGTTCCACAGCAAGGACACATAAGGCCAAGGTATGCCAGCCCCCATTAAGTTCCTCTCACAGCTTAGAGACAGAGTTATGAGTAGTCAAAAGACTTCGAACCTTTCTACTGTAGTTGATAGCTTAATTGTTTTACAGTTTAGTTTATAGTTCATAGTTAGTTATTAATTATTTTTGTTTGGTTGCCTGTAGCTTTACTTCTTAGAGTTCTGCTCACCACTGGTATGGTGCTGTCCAGTTCTCCTGGATTCAAACATTGCCCCTCTGACATGGGCGCCGACTGCAAAAAATAGTGTGTGCTCAGCACCCACTAGCAGCCCCGCTGATCAGCTCCTCCCCCACCCTCCCAGCGCCATCTGCCTGCTGGGAGGGGAGGAGTGGGGGTAGGAAGAGGCAGAGTGAGGGTGGGGGATGCTCAGGGGAGGGGGCAGAATGCTCAGGAAGAGGCGGGGCAGGGTGAGGCCTTGAGGGAACAGGTGGAGTGGGGGCGGGGCCTGAGGCAGAGTAGGGGTCGAGCATCCCCGGAGAAATTAGAAAGTCGTCATCTCTGCTCATGCGAGGGAGATAGCCAAGCTTCAGGGTCCAATCTCCAGCCCGAGCTGCTATGTCTATGCAGCTATTTTTAGCATAGTAGCACTCTGTCCTCTTCGTCCCCTGACCCATGGCCCCAAAATTTATTATAACAGTTTCCAAGATCCATTAAAAATAATGGCCGAGGCCCTCCACATCCCTACTGAGGAGGTAAAGGTATAGAGACACAGGTTAGTGAACATGCTTTCGGCCTCCTCATCAGGAAAGATAACACTCCGTATCAATGGGAATATCATGGACCCTTGCAGATTCCTGTGGCAGACACCTGCTTCAGCACTGCCTACCTCTCATAAGGCATATAGAAAATACCAAGTGCCTCTCAAGGGTGTGGAATTCTTTTCGTGCACCCTACCTCATCCTGCCTTGTGGTCACAGTGATGAATGAAAAGGCAAAACAATTCTGGTCCACACCAAAAAAGAGAGAGCCAAAGAGACTATATTTATTTGGCTGGAAATCCTACTCCTCAGCGAGCCTGCATTTTTGCATGGCCAATTATCAGGCCATATTGGCCAGGTATGACTTCCACATACATGAAAGACCGTTTGCCTTTGTGGATAAGCTGCCCAATCAGATTTGTGAGGACTTCACATCACTAGTCAATGCTAATGACCAGGATAAGTCTCCAAGCAGCACTTGATGCAGTGGATACAGTTGCCAGATCAATGGCAACTGTTGTCATTACAAGAGGGAAATCATCAGGAATCAGGATTCCCCGGGAAGTGGCTGATTTATTATTATTTATATCACAGGAGTGACCGAAGGTTCCATTTTAGGATACATTGAGCTAGGTGATATACACGCAAATGACTAGACATGCTTCTCAGTGACAGTTGCCTGCAAATTTCCTCTTGTGGGGAAAACAGCATAGCACAGTGTTGAGAATGTCAGCATTATCTTATGTTGCACTATCTCCAGAGGTCCCTGCCCCAAATAATTTACAATCTAAAAGTGCCATTTTCTTCCGACTGTTGGGGGTTTTGAAATAGACTCCAAGGTGTGTCAGGAAAATTGGATGTTTTTGACTTGTTCACCATTGAGGCTTTGCCTCTTACTTCTGTCTGTCACTCTTGTGACAACAGCAAATTGCCAGAGAGTTCCATATTTGTTCAATAATTTTGTGTTTAAAACTATACAGTTTTCCATTTTTCACAAATCTGATAAAAACATGATTTTTGTTTAGTTTTCATTTTTCTGCACTTTTGCCAAATAGTGTGACTATTTTTGCTCACTTTTATTTGTGTTCTCCTGAGCTCCTGCTGAAAAGACTTTGCCATCTCTGTATTTGTGGATTCTTTTAAAACTGTGAAAATGGTTGAACTGCTGCTGCAAATGTTGTGGCAAAACACAGGAGTTCAGTCTCCAGGGCTGTACGTGTGGCAGAAGAAAGAAAGGGCCTGCTCTTGCTCCTCTTGAAGTCAATGACAAAACTCCCATTGACTTTAGTAAGAGAATTAGTGGGCCAAGTGTGTAATAATGCTTCCATGAAATCCAGCAGAGCATTATCTGTATATATGTAAGTGAGTTGCTTCTTTCTTTTCCTGCAATACATCAGCAAATGTATGTTATGGTCTTTTTATAGTTAACAGACTTTTATTGGTGATAGTGGGCCAAATCCAGAAGGCCTTACTTTGTTTTTCTTAGACAAAACTCCTATTGACTTTATTGAGTAAAGGACTTCAGTATTTGGCTAGCACAGTATGAGATACTAAACATCACATATATCAGGGAAAAAATATAGTTTATACTCAGGTAACATAGTGAGGTAAAATAATAGTACTATAATGGATGGCTAGTGTATATGCATATGTATCATTGCCTTATACTGTATAGAATTGGAACTATTCAGCTGTGTGTCATAGGCCCCATATTGCTGTAACACTGAAGGAGACCTTCCAGTTCAGGTGGCAGGCTACTGTGCTTTTTGAGCAAGATCTGAGTTCTAGCTCTACTTTTTGAGTGAAGTTCCAGGCCATGGCATGTTGAAAAATGGCAGCCATGGCTTCATAGATGATCACAGACTTCATATCAATAAATTACAAAGCAAAGGGTTAAGCATTGCAGATTGGTAAACAAGACGACGTCTGTGTTTTTTCTCTCCCCACCCCCTTTAAATGGAAAGGTTTGGCTCAGTACGCTTTCATCACTGACCTGTCAAGACCTGGTCAGAGACTTAATTTGTGGATAACTGACTTGATAGACCTTTCTGCCTCCATATGTCAACGAAACTTTGTAGTCCGTATACTAAGTC